GTTTCCTGTTGTAGTGTTTTAAGTCAGTCTTGTTAGAAGGTATGTCTGAGATGATTGTTGATGAAATAAAAATGCGGATATGAAGATCGACTACTAAGGACTAGTACTAATAAATAAATTATTAAATCGAAAGCATTTTAAAAATCTTATTAAATGTGTAGTTTGTGTCCTTTAAATCTTAATGAGGAAGTACAGTGATTAAATATGCAAAACTGGTTTTTAAACCATTGGTCTCAAAAACACATAAAGCTTTACTTTCGTAATACAATATATATAAATTAGAAAATAATATAAAATCCTGGCTCTGTGAGGAATCTGGTAATAACTTATGGAACATTTTGCTTCTGAATTGGCAGTTTCTGTCAAGCATTGGGCAATGTTGTCAAAAATAACTTTGATCTAGTAGCTATTCTGTGATGTATCTTTTACTTCTAATCCTGGTCTTGAATTTTCAAAGTGTGCATTGCCACTTTTTCTATGGCACATAGTTGGCCAATATAGCCATAGGCAGAGCTGAACAGAAACACCCCTGTCTTCCCAAAAGGCAGAATAGAAAACTGTGTATTAGAGTGTACGTGTGGTGGTATTTCTCAGTGGGAAAAAAACCCGTAAGGTTTTCTAGATTAGTTTCCTTCATTTTAATTGTAATTATTAAGTATTTGACTTCTTATAGGAGTTAGAATTATTCTGCAGTATCCAGATTTGGCAAACAATAAAATTGTGTTATTATCTATACATGACTAGTTTAATTATCTCAGGTTGTATAGCCAAGGTTATGGTATTTGGAGCAGGTGTTTTCTCCAGTCCTAAATATGGACGTAAAGTATCTTAAAACGTAAGAGTAGACTTCATAACCTAAAAATTCATTGCTTCAGGATAAAATAAAACTTGTACATTTGCATATAATATTACTAAGACTAGCAGAATCCTACTTGAATGTCAATAGAATTCTTAAATTAGAATGAAAATAAAATTATTTTTACATGTCTGTTTTTTCACATAACAATCACCCTCCTCATATCTCTACCTCAAAGGAACACCAAAGAAAATGATACTATTTTGAAGAAGTAAGTTTTCATCTGTGAAAACCTAACTGAAAATACTGGAGTTTTAATCAGTGTGATAAGAGAGGAGACATTTTATTTAAGCCATGAGACTGTTCAGGAAGTGTGGATAGGTTCTAATTTCCCCCCCTCTCAAGATGTGCATGCCACATTCTGGAACAGTATACTTGGTACTAGAAAAGTTTTCATCTTACTGAATATTAGGAAGTTCAGGAATACTGTGAGTAGACTTCCTTCAGTTACTATATGTCTGATTACTTATTTCCACCAACATATTTTGTTTACTTGTGGCCTGGACTAGAGTCAAGGGAATTGGTTACTTAAAATATTTGTCTTTTCCCACATGCTACCTTCATGGCATTATATAAGACTTTTTTGGGTGGGGGGAGGTTTTTGCTGTAGGGGATGTGTGCTTGCCAGAAAGGCAGCGAGAGACAGAAAGCAAGAAATCACCCCCCAGAGGAGATGGCCATGCCGCAATCCTTTCTCCTCCATTCTCTTCTTGGGATCTTGGGCATGCACTCACATGTGCCTGGCATGAGTTTAAGCCACCGGGTTCAGGACTCAAACTGTGGTCAACTACATGGGAGTTCAGTGACATCGCCATTATGCCGTCTGCTGGTCCCATGCATAAGACTTTTTAACATCTTTGAGTTTCAGTTCTTACAAGATCACAACTAAGTTCTTGTAAATTTTTGTTCTGCTTTCTCCTTCAGAGAACTGACGACACTTTCAAGTGAGCTGATAGTATATTGGTGTTCTAATACATAGATCATAACCATAGATTTGAGAAGAGATCATCAAAACATTTTTTAAATTACAATCATTATTTGATTTGTTACTATTAGATATCTTTAAAATTGTGAATTGGGGGAGGTCTGTTTTCTCTGTTTTTGAAAAAGTATAGATCCTCTTCCAAGTTACATAGCTCTCATCTTTGTATACTATTATTAGGGAGTTTTTTCCTCTGTGAAAGTTAGTTCTGGGTATAAATCATGTTATTTCAAACAAAATCCAGACTTTTTCTTTAGCTATTAAAAAAGCAAGTTTTATGAGTTGCACAAGATCCAAATATAGTTGTGTGCTTGTGGAAAGATGGACATGGCATCCTGCGTCCTATTAAGAGTGGAGCGTGCTGATTACGGTCCTGCGACCTCAGAGGAGCTGGCAGCACAGCCAGCACTACATGCCTGGAACTGTTTCATCACTGATAATGCCTTATCTCATCTAATACCTCTGAAGAGTTTCAAGGGAGTAAACACTGGCAATCCTTGGTTCACCAGAGTTGAAATGCAAGCATAGATCATTCCAATAATTTGTTGCAGATTACACAGCCAATATAATAGAGGTATAACCGCCATGCTTTACCACTGGGCTAAGAGGTTTTTTTGATAACTAATCAGAAGTGTATGTTGAATACACACAGATTTACACATAACCAGTTTATAACTGTTTCTTGTAATAGTAGATATTTACAGATGAATTAATCTTCTGAAAATCACTGTACAAGGTAATTGTAATTTTGTGTTTTAGCAGACCCTTATCTTAACATTCTGTTTTCATTTCAAATGGAACCTTATAAATAAAATTTGTTTCCAGTGAACATGGAGAAGTTTTATTTATATTCTCCTTTAGACATTTGTCATAGGGATACTTCTAACATTACTGATTTTTTTTTTAATTTGGAAAAAAAGAGATTAAATGATGTGATTTTAAATTTAAAATACATTATATAACCATGTCAGAAAATAATATGTTGCTAAATATATGCAATATTTAATGAGTATCATTTTCAAACAAGTTTCTAAATTTTATCTATACATTACCTTATTTTTTAAATGAATTAGAATCTTAACTAATTGCAGGGATAAAATTCAGTTTGCAGCTTGACCCATGTATTTACTACCCTTTCTTAGTAAGAACTTTGAGGTGTTGTTTTCTGATGTGTGCATAAAGAATGTTGGTGTCAGTCCACGTACTTGTCCAAGTGTATTCTTAAAACACAAAAATGACTGTATGATAAAATTTAAGACAGTTTTTGTCCTGTGACTTCACATACTAACCTAATGTTATTGTGCTAGTGTAGTACATGGGCATATTTTTTAGTTGGCATTTTATTGTCGTTAAGAATGTTATGACATGGTCTAAAATGTGAATTGTTTTCCTCAATCTATTTATGAATTGTTTTAAGATGCTGAAATAACAAATCCACAAAAATTACATTATCTTCTTAAATTTTAGTGTCTTTCTTTTAGGCAAATAAAATATATAAATAATTCATTTTATATATAAACAAGTTACCAAGCTTTTTCCAAGGAATATTCAAATCATAAGAAGTACTTTATAATTATGTTTTAGAGGGTATACATTATTGTAAATGAAATGTAAATATTTTAGGCTGCATTGTCCATTTTTTATTGTGTAATGGAATGTTATCAGACAGTGGACCAATAACTCCTTTCAAAATGGTTATGAAATGAATTGCTGGGAGTGGTTTATACAACTGAATTGCCCATGGTAATGAGTGGCATGGAGTTAAAGCCTTGGTCATTGTCAGAGAATCAACTTTATGAAACGAGAAATAAGGAGTGCTCTTTTAAAGGCATATACACACTTAATCTTACTTGCCCCATTTCCTCCTCGATTGTTAAAGTCTCAAGCACTTCTCTGAAGGAAGCATCCTGGAACTATAGCAGCTTTTCTAGATTCTGTTTGCCATTTGCTGTGCTCTCAACCACTCATGAATGTTCTAGTAGTTCATGAGTCTGAAAGTCCAAGGTGATTTTTAATTAACAATATCCAGTATGTTAACACCAAATGTTGAGAAGTTTAGTTTCAAAAATTAAAAGGTAAACAGTAGATTACCCAGATCAGGCAGAAGAACAGTGTAAACATCCTTTTTTGGGGGGATAGGTTTTTGCTATAGGGCACGTGTGCTTGCCAGAAAGACAGAGAGAGACAGAGAGATAGAAAGTGAGAAATCACCCCCCGGGGGGATGTCCACGCCACAATCCCTTCTCCATTCTCCTCTCGGGATCTTGGGCACGCACGCACACGTGCCTGGCGTGAGTTTCAAGCCACCAGGTCTGGGACGCGAACCGCGGTCGACTACGTGGGAGTCCAGAGACATAGCCATTACGCTGACTGCTGGTCCCCAAACATCCTTTTTTTTTTTTTTTTTTTTTGAAGAGGTTTAAACATCCTTTGATAACCTTTGTCATTAAGTTAGATATAGATAAGAAAGTGTGGTTTTTGTTTGTTTTTGTTTTGTTTTGAGCCTTTTGCTATGGTGCACCTGTGCTTGTCAGAGAGACAGAAAATGAGAAATCACCCCCCAGGGAGGATGGCCATGCCACACTCTCTTCTCCTCCATTCTCTCCTTGGAATACTGGGTACACATGCACACATTCATGAGTTTCAAGCTGCAGGGACAGGGATTTGAACAGTAGTTGACCACATGGGAGTCCAGCACTTTAACCACCATGCCACCTACTGGCCTCAAGAAAGAGTGATTTAGGGACCTGCAGTTAGCGTAATGGCTATGTCTCTGGACTCCCACATAGTCGACCGCGGTTCGCGTCCCGGACCCGGTGGCTTGAAACTCATGCCAGGCACGTGTACGTGCGTGCCCAAGATCCTGAGAGGAGAATGGAGGAGAAGGGATTGCGGTGTGGCCATCCCCTCTGGGGGGTGATTTCTCACTTTCTGTCTCTCTGTCTCTCTCTCTCTCTCTGGCGAGCGCATGCACCCTATGGCAAAAACCTCTCCACAAAAATAAAAAAGATTTTAACTATGACTAGGTGGCAGAGCTCTGGGGCCTAGTCCTAGATGTGTTGCGAAGTAAACAAGAACTATGGCATAACAAAAGAAATTATTCAGCAAATCTAGGCATTACCAGTAATATGTATCTAGAGAAACTCAAATTCACTTTAAATT